AGCAACGCCAGGTCCTTGTTGCTGCCGCTACACCGAAGAACACCTCTGCTGCAGCTGAGGGCTCCCAAGATGAGTCGCTGCAGGCCGCTGCTGTCGGCCAGCAGAGCACTTTCAACTTGTGGAGTTCCTCGCAGCAGTAGATGCTTGACTTCCTTCTCTTCTGAGGCTTTGCACACCACAATGGCCCGGCCACCTTGCTGCTGCTGGGTCTGCTGTTGTTGCTGCTGGTGCTGCTGGTGCTGAGTCTTGTCTTGCATGCGGCCTGCTCTGCCTGCCATCTGTCTAAAATGAACTGAGTCTAAGAAGTTGCTGCCGATGTGGGGAGAGTCGAATAGCACAGAGCTGCACAAAAATCGCAAGAATACGCTCCAGCAGCTGCATCTAAAAAATGACAGCAGCAACATAACGCACGACAATAATATCAGCTGCTGCTATCATGCCCATTTGATACGCACAGCGTAGAGCCGCGACCAGCTGGAGCAGCTGAAGCTAGATCTGCAGCACCACCGTTTGGATGGACACCACAAGTGCAGCAGTTGAAGCACCACACGCACAAGTTTAGCAGCAGTGGTAGCAACGGCAATAGCAGCAGAATCGGACTCGCATGGAAAGTTAACACCAGCTGCCAAGGTCGAAGTTGCCGCCAGCACTTTGACGATGCCTTCTCTGAAGAGGGATTCTGCGAGGCGTCTCTCCTCAGAAGTGAGGCCAGCGTGATGTATAGAAACCCCAGCAGAAACAGCAGAAACAACAACGTCCTTCACGGAACCCCCTTGTAGCACTGCAACACTGCGGAGACGGCGCATGCGAGCATCTGCAGCAGCTGATGAGAGAAAGTGGAACTTCTCCTGCTCTTGATGTTGTTGCTGCTGCTGCTCGAAGCACCGCCGCAGTAAAGGTATGGCGTAGTCTGCGGCTAGGACTGCGACTGTCTCTACTGCAGCTTTGCTGCGGCAGAAGATGAGGACGCTATTACCCTGCTGCAGCATCAGCAGCAGGAGCCGGAGCAGCGGCTCACGCGCCATAGCAGTCGCGATCGATGGACGAACAAACTTTCTGCCGGCGGTCTCTTCCTGATGCTGCTGCTGCTGCTGATGCAACTTCTGCAGCAGTGGTGCCATTGATGGCGGAAGTGGAACTTCCGGCCAGGGCTGCTGGGGGTTCGCGGCAGCAGCAGCCACAGGCTTCGTGAATAAACGCACCTCAAGATGAGTATTTGTTGCTGTCGCTCCCTTAGTGCCTTGGCCACCTTTTCTCTTCACTGTAGCAGCAGGAGCTCCACTACAGCAGCAATATGCTTCTTGGAGAGGCAAGGGCCTGTGATCGTTGCAGTAAACAGCAGCAGAGAGCCATGCAGCAACCTCAGATATATTGCTAAGCGTGGCCGACATTCCCACAACTTGTATGGGTTGCAGCGGCTGCCGCTCGTGTTGCCTCTGCTGCTCCTGTTGCATCAACAGCAGCTTAGTGTTGCAATAAACAACATGCGAAAGCAAACATTCCAAGAGGGCGCCTCTCGTCGGGTCTCCAAGTGCATGCAGCTCGTCCACCACAAGCAGCCCAAGCCGGTGCAACAGCAGATTCTTCTCTGCTAGCTGCTGCAGCAGCGCTGCTGCCTTTTCAATGGTGCAGAAAGCAACATCAAAGGCGGCCGGATCTGTTGCTGCAGCCTCAACGCTCGCGGTATCTCTGCTGCAGTGGTGTAGTGCCACGACCTTCACGGGCAGGTCTGCAGCAGCAAACAAACGCTGCAGTTTCCGCTGCTGCTCTTCTATCAAAGAAACGAATGGAAGCACAACGACGGCTCTTCTCGGCGGATGCTTGCAGCAGCCCGCTACATTCTCAGTTGATGCCGTTTCTGCTGCTACTGTTGACAGTGGCGCTTGCGTGGATGTGTGTTGTGTGAGCCCGTTAGTGCCACCAGTAGCTGCAGTCACTGCGGAGGTCGGCCACTGCAGCTGCAACTGCTGCTCTGCTAACTGTTGCTGTTGTAGTGTGTCTAGCGGTGGCATGTCCAGCAAACCAAATATGTGTCGCAGCAACAGAAGCTCGGCAACAAGACCTTTCCCCGCACCTGTAGGTGCAGAGTACAGTATGCTCAGGGAGCCATTGAGTACCCTTGGCGGTCCGCTATTAGAAGTTGCTGCTGCTGCAACTGCTGCTGATTCGACCCAGCGCAACGACATTCCTTCTGCAACAGCAGCGGCTCCAGCCGCTGCTGAAGCCAGCTCACTTTCATTTTCACTAGTAGCTGCTGTTTCTGGGTCTGTCACTCCCCTTGCTCGCTCTTTTGGTGAAGCACCGGAGGCAGCATTGCAAGCAGCAGCAGTGACCTCGTCAGCAGCAACTGCAGGCATTGCTGTCGCTGCTGTTCTCGTTTCGGAATGGGTTGCTGCAGGTGACTGGGAGACAAGGAGGCAATCTCGTTGCCATTGGAGCACGCGGCGGATCCCTCGAGTCTCCCCAAGGGCCTTAATGAGTTGGGTAATGGGCACGAAAGCACCCAGAAGCAACTTGTCTGATGAATCTCCAGACGCACCGACGGCTGCAGCGCTGCCCCTTCCTCCTGAACCTCCCTGGTTGTGATCCTGCGCTTGCGTGTGCTGTGGCTGCTGCGGTTGCTGGGGCAGTCCTTGCGGCTGTTGGTGCTGTTGCTCTCGCGGCAGCGGCGTTCTCTGCTGACCCTGCAACGACGGTGACTGTTGTGGAAGGGCGTGCACCATGCTTGTGCTGGTGAAGCCCCCCAAGTGTTCTTGTTGCTGCCGTTGTTGTTCTTTTTGCTTTTGTTCTCGTTGGTCGGGGGTGCACTGCCATAGCACTTCCTGCAGCTGGGCAGCGGCCACGTACGGCTGCTGGCGGCGAGGCCCAAGCTCTTGCTGCTGTTGGTGTTGCTGCTGCTGGTGTTGCTGCAGTGAGCGTTGCCGAAATTGTCGATCGTGCAGCGACGGTTGTACCTGCAGTTGTTGCTGTTGCCGCTGCAGCAGCAGATGTTGCTGGTTCATATAATCATAACGCTCAGCCTGCCCTGGGAGTTGATGCGGCTGCTCATGCAACTCCATGCGCTGGTGGTCCAGAAGCCCATTCTGCCGCTGCTGTCGCTGTGGGTGTTGCAGCTGCAACACGGGATCGCGTTGTAGCTGTCCAGCGGGAGCCTCTCTGAGTGGGAAGGCTTGCTGCGGTAGCACTTGCTGCAGCGGAGTACTCCGACATTGCGGTAGCTGAGACTGCCAACGTTCTCCCTGCAGGAGCGGCTGCAGCTCTGCACAGCGCAACGTGGAGTGCTCCTGTTGCTGGCGTTGCTGCTCTTGCTTCCGCTGCAACTGCGGCTGGCAGTGCTGCTGCTGTTGGGACAGCTGACGCTGTTCGCTGCGATTCGTGTGGCGTTGTTGAGGCAGCAAGAAGCGCGGCTGCGGTAACACACCCAAACGGCTTTCTCCTAGCAGCCGCAGACTCTGTGGTGCGTGGTGCTGCTGCAAGCCCAGGGGACACTCCAGCGGACGCTCAAGTGATTCATGACACAGCAGTTGCTGATGCTGTCGCTGGGGCACAACCTGTTGCACGGGCTGCTGCTGCTGCTGCTGCTGAAGTAGCTGCTGCTGCTGCTGTTGCTGCCGCTTCAGAGACCCCAGCTCCTGTAACTCCGGTTGCAGCTGCGGTTGTTGAAGCGACAGTTTCGTTTGCAGTTGCAGCTGTTGGGGTCCCAGCTGCTGCTGCAATTGTTGGGGCACAACCTGTTCCAGGGGTTGCTGCTGCTGCTGCTGCTGCTGAAGTACCTGCTGGTGCTGCTGTTGGTACGGATGCACAGACCCCAGCGATTGTAGTACCGGCTGCAGCTGCGGCTGTTGAAAGAGCAGTCCCGTTTGCAGTTGCATCTGTTGGGGTCTCAGCCGCGGCTGCAGTTGTTGGGGCTGCAGCTCTTGACCCTGCGTCTGTGGTAGGCCCTGTTGCTGCTTAGGCTGCGGTTGCAGTTGCCTTTGCTGTTGTTCAAGCTGCAGCTGCGGTTTCAGTGGTTCCTGTCGAAGCTGCTGTTGTGGCGTATCTTGAGGGTATAGAGGCTGCTGCAGTTGCAATCTCTGTTGCAGTCGCTGCTGCGGATGCAGCTGCGGTTGTGGCTGGCACAAAAACTGCTGCTGCTGCTGCTGCTGCTGGGGCGTGTTTCCGGCCATTTGCACTGCCAATTAGTGAACTACTGAGGCTGAGAAGGCGAATAAGAGTGCAGCAGCAGCAGAAGCTGCTGCTGACTTCTCTAGCCGCAGTGACTCCATTGAAATATCGCAAGTAAGAAGCGTGTTTCAGTACATTAGGTGTTGCAGCTGCTAGTGGCGTTGCTGATACCGCAGCTGCAAGTCTTCTGCCACTGCCGTCGCCATAGTTGTGGTGCAGAAGTTTAGAGGGTTTAGCGCCCTCGCTTGATCTAAGAACCATTACAGCTTTTCTTGCAGGCTGCTGCGACTGGTTTTGTCGGCTGCGGTTTGCATGCATACACACGTCGGCAGCAGCAGTACCAGCAGCAGACGAAAAAGCAAGAAAATCTATGCGTTGTTATTACAGCCTGTACACTGTCTTTGTTCTCCTTTGAGCCCTTCAAATTCTGTTGCAGCAACAGTAGCTTGCTGCTCTTGCGGCTTTGGGCAGACTTACGGTTTGCCATTACCTGCTAGTACCACTGATTTCTCGGAGCTGCTTTGGCATCAGCAGCTGCGATGACGTGTGTATTAATTATGATGTTTTTATGCATTGTTTTAACTGCAGAGGCCGAAACTTACAGAAGCAGTCCGTAGTAGCTTTCGGTGGAACCATCTGTTCCTCGCTAGGCTGCTCTTCAGCCTGATCCTTAAGCCTGGGACACGGGCAGCGGCTGCAGCGCTCCTACGCCATCAGCAACAACAATGCGGAAATCCCAGTGAAAAGGCCCTAGATGCTGCGGTAGAGTCGCCCAGCAGCTCTCTGCTGCGGCGGCATTGCTGCGAGTGGCATATTTCCTGCTTGCCGCAGGAAGTATGAGGTTCTCCCAGCCAACGCAGCAGCGATTGATCAGCTGCAGCGAGGAGCAGCGAAACCCTCAAGATCAGTGCCATTCTGCTCCAGAAGAGGTGTCTGGCCATCCCGATGGAAGATCCAGATTCGACAGTGGGCCGGCGGGACGACACGGCCCCACAGCAGCAGAGCACAAGCTCTTGCTGCAACTGCTTCAGGAGCAGCAGGAGCAAATGGTCACTTCTCGACAGTACATTCAACAGATGATACGACAGCAGCAGCGACAGATCATGCAGTGGCAGCAACAACAGCAGCAGCAGCAACAACAACAGCGGCTGCCTTGGGTACTAGACAACCTAAAGAAATTGCTGCCTCCTCAGTTGTTTTCTTGGCTTGTGAAGACAACAACAGAAAACATCAGACGAAGCATTCATGGCGACAGCAGCAGCAGTAGTAGCAGCAACGGTAGAAGGAATTGCAGCAGCAACAGCGGCAACAGCAACCGCATCACCAGCAGCACAGCAGACGGGGGAGCACATCTCGCTGCAGCGCTTCGACAGCTCCTGGCGGCAGTCCTAAGAGACCCATCAACTCTTCAGTTCGCCGCTCCTGCTGCAGCTGAAACGGCAACAACTGCTCCAGCAGCAACAGCGAAACCAATGGCTTCTTCGCCAGCTGCAACCCCTGTTGTAGCACCAGCTGTAGCACCAGCAGCAGCACCAGCTGCAGCACAAGCAGAGACAACCGCTCCGTTTCGATCTCTTTCAAATGGCCGCAAGAAGCAGTTGAAGCAGCATGAGCAGCAGCAGAGTGAGCTACATCAAACGGTTCAGCCTCGAGGCCGTGGCCGTTCCAGACTTGCTGCAGCTTCGTCTCACCAACAGCAGCAGCAGCATCAGGGTGAAGGTGAGGGGTCGGACTGGCTGCTGCGGTACGAGGGCCGTAGGTTGGGCATTTCTCTTCGCCGCGAATCTGTTGAGCATTCCTTCGACCCAAGATACACTCACAACGTTAAGTTGTCCCCAGATAGGAATACAGCCACAGGTAGCTCAAATACAGAGCTGTTCGCTAGTTGCAATCCTGCTGGTGCTGTTGTTATGCGGGGTTGTGGTGAAGCATCGTTTGTGCCGCGACAGCTGTGATTGTTGCCTGCCGCGCTGCTGGTCCTGCCGCAGCTGCTTTCCTGAAAGTTGCATTGCCCGGCTTTTGACTAAGCCTGCTCATGAGGACTGTGCTGCTCCTCATCTTGGTATATTGCTGTGGCTAATTACGTTTTTCCGCCGGTACAACATTTGCGTCTGCCTGAGCCAGCGTTTGTCTCGCCTTTTCTAGCTCTATTTGGTGATGGGCCTTTTATCGCAATAATGACATATCGACGGCGCCTGGCTGTTACAGCAGCTTCAGCTTAGCTTGAGCATGTAGTTGCTGCTGTTGACTGCTGTTTTTGTGGCTTTACTTCTGCTGCTGATGTGACTGGTGCAGGTGGACGCAACTGGGGAAGCTCTCTGTCACGCTGCTGCTGCAGCTGGGGCTCGTTCTACTTCGAGGTCAAGGTGGGCCCTTTGGGTCCTCACAGTGGATCAGGCCCCTCGGGAAACATTGTTTACGCAGCAGACCAGGTGCCCAACTTGCCCATCAAGGGTTGGGGCCCGGCGAAGACAACAAAGCAAGTGGCAATGGTAAGACAGAGGCACAGGTAGTAGTAGGCAGGAAGCAATAGGACTGGAGGCAGACACCGAAATGGAGACAGAAGAAGCGAGGGCAACAAGAAAAGGAGAAGCGAAAACACGATAGAAAGAATTCAAGTGAATTTGATAGAATTTGGCCTTCTCTAAGGCATTGGTTTCTGCGGGCTCAGGAATATGAAGACGAATTTGTTGTTGGCCCTCACAACGCCCTCGGTCCCTGTTTACGCATCGGCGTGTCCTCTCGCTTATCTCCTCCGCTGGCCCCTTTGGGTTCCAACCCGTTTGGCTACGCGATTGGCTCCTACTGTGAGATCCCCCAGCAGCGCGAGCTAGAGTCATCACTTTCTGAAGAACGGTGCAGCTGCAGCTGCAGCACATGTGGAAACATATGCAATAACAAACCGAGCCCTAGTGACACCCCCAGTCTGCGCGATATTAAGCTAGTGAGAGGAGCTCCCCGTCGCCGGGGCCTCTTCGTGGTGACTCGAGGCCGTCGAAAACGCCTGAAGCGCTCAGACGTATTTTTTCCAATGCAGCCTCCTTGTGACGAGCCTTTAGGACCACAAGGTTCTACAGAGGCAGTAGAGGCAGTAGAGGGGGGTAATGCGGCACAGCACCTTTCACCCCCAACAGATGAAGCAAGCGACGATCTTGCTGCAGCTGCGCTGGATGCAGCAACATCAGCGGCTGCCGCTAACGTTTATGCAGGGTCTAGGAAGGGAAGGTTGTGCAGATGCGGATGCACGGCGTGCGGAGACCCCTATGGGGATGCCTCCAGGGCCTCTCATATGTCTGCTGCTGCGCCTGCTCTACGTGATGGAGACATTGTTGGCTGTTTCGTTCATCTACCTGGAAGGCCTCCCGCCACTCTGGAGGACCCTCGAGGCCGTCCCAGTCTTTGGCGGTTCTTGCAGCAAGGTGAAAAACAGTTCAAGGGGGAGAGAAAAAAGGGTGGTGCCTGTACGCCTTGTGATGTATCTTTTGTTTCACAGATATTGTTGGCTTGTCTAGGCTGTTCCTGGGATTGATGAGTTTGGTTGTTGACAGTAGAGCTTCATGAGATCCACTGGAGCCGTTGTGGCGAAGGGTGAATTTCGGTTTTCATTTTTTCCTGACCGTGTCTTATCATTGTATACCTTTTTGTTATTTGTGTGTGCGTTTCAGTGCTTTCCCGATGTGTTTATCGTGTCTGTGCTTTCTTATGCACCGATTTTCTGAATTCCCCCCTTGACGCTTTGTATGACTGTGCCTGCGCCCAGATCTATATAGTTTTATTGTCTGTCTGTGTGGACTTAAACCTATCCGTTTCCTAGTTGTTTTTTTCCTTCGGAGCCTGTGCGTGTGCGTGGCTTTCTTTACACTCACCTTTTCTAATACGGGGGACAGCCTTTCCGTTGTTTTCTTGCGTGTAACTACTTGTTCAGGACTCTTGTGTGACGTGACGCACGAGTCCACTCTGCCGAAGGGCGTCATTTATCCTCGTTCTTTCATCTCCTTTTCCGTCAACGGCTGCGTCTACCACAGAGTCTTGGGGCCCCTGCTTTGCTGCGAACTGCACCCAGCTGTCTCCCTCTTTAATGGGGCCTCTGCTACCCTCAACTTAGGCCCGAACTTTGCATTCCTCCCGCGGGAGCTCCGGCGCTACTTCAGGTGACGCCATGGAATTTGTGCTGATACTGCTGCGATCTTCCATGCCTCTGTTGTTACCGCTGGTGAACGCTGCATTTGCTGCTGCTGCAGAGTTAGATTTGAACTGTTGTTGGAACTGCGGACTCTACTGCTCCGCAGCGTGTCACCCCCCCTAGCAGATATACTGTAGCTGCTGCAACTGGTAGAAGACTATGAAAGGTGTGTCTTTTCTTCCAGAGCGCTTGTTACTGGTGCTGCTTTCACTGCACTCAGGCCTGCAAGGGAGATGCTCACCTCTGTGTACCCGCTGAAGCACGACCTCGTGAAGTTTTACTTGCTTGCGGCTGACAGCAACAGTAGCGGCAAGAATAGTAGAGAGGACGAAGCGGATGCCAACCGATCATCCAAGCGACTGCGGACCATCGCGGAGGTTGAAGGCATGAAGGACGAAGCGCCAGACGGACAGCAGCAACAGCCACTGCGTTTCGTCCCATTTGATGAGGCGACGCATCTTCGCAAGCTAAAGGCAGCAGCGCCGCAATTTCCGTCGTGTAGCGCATCCATGCAGCACCAACAGCAGCGGCGGTTACAGCGTCAACAGCAGCAGTCGTAAAAGCAACAATAGCAAAAGCAGCAACAAGATACTCAGCAACCGGAGCGACTGCAGCAAACAAGTCCGCACGGATAGGCAGCTTTGTTTTAGGCAACTTGCTCTGCCTTGTTTCGATTTAACGGGCACGGGGAGAAGTCTTTTTCAAATTGCGCGCTGCAGCGACTCCAGCTGCAACAAAACGACGCTTCCGCGACCGCTTGACGGCACCGACGGCACTGCAGTTCAGACACAACTACTGCAGCGACTATGATCCTTTGTGCTGCACTGATAGGACAGCCGCAGCACTACGAACGGCGGCAGTGACACTATTTTGACTCGGATACTTTTGAATTTGCAGTTAAATCATCTGTGGCTTCGGTTCCGATTTTTTTATTTGCGATGTGACGTTGCAACCACCCACGCCTAACTCTACATTCATTACCCTTTCACTGGAGCCACTACTCGCAGCGAGTAAGAAATTAGTCCACCGCCATAACGTTGCAGCTGGCGAGCTAATGGAAACACGTCCGGCCAACAGCAGCGGCAGCAGCTTCAGTAGAAGCAGCTAGTTGTTTGCCATAGCGTTGCGCCCGCTGCGATTTTCCGCGAGCCTGATGTGTTGTGATTCTCAGTCATGGTGTGCCAGCACTGTAGAAGCAGCATCAACGGTGATGGCAGCAGCAGTAGCAGAGGCTGAAGCAGCGGCAACCGGAACTAACACCAGCAATCTAGCCCAAGCAGTTAAGACGGCGGGCTAGGGCTTCCCGTGCTGCCACTGGGTAGGCACATCTTGCCGTGACGTGGCTGCTGTTATATGCAACCCCATACCGGGCGTCGCGGGGGACTGCCTCAAAGCAATGCAGCCAATTCCAAGTTCTTGCCTATCACGAAGCAAGAACTCAACTATGGCCACGGGTCAAGAAGTTACGCGAAAATGTGTGCCAAAGACTTCAGCCCCGCTGGGCGCTCGGTGAAGCTGCGTAAACACTTCCTGTGCCTCTCATCTAAGGCCAACTGTGCACGATCTGGTTTTTATCTGTATAAACCACGCTGGGGGGACCTCTTCAATGAGACGCGTGGTGTCCACAGTGCCAACAGACAATCTTTGTCGCTTTATGGCTTCCTGCGATTTGTTGCCACTTCATTGCATCTTCTTGCTCCGCGTTCACTAAAGCCTGCCCCGACTGATGCCTGCGCCGCTGCCACGGCTGCTGCATCTCGAGAAAATGGTCTCGAGCGCGCTAGAGGAACATACCATAGGGAAGCGTAGCGGAGAACAGAGACCGAAGCGGAAAGATGTAAGCTGGCCGCCAACCCTTCAGAATCGGTGCAAGAAAATGAAGCAACAAGCACCTACTGCTGCCGCTGCTGCTACTTGAACAGGGGATACGGCTGCGCTGCACATATGGCAGCAGGAACGACTCGTGCTGTTGCTGCAAGCTCTTCAGGTCAAACTGCTGTGGATTGCTGAGGATGCGAGCAGATGTCAGGACAGGACATCAGCCAGCCTGCAGCAATAAACGCCATGAAAGATAGAACTGCTTTTTCTGTTCTTGCATCCCCTGCTGCCCCTTTAGTTTCGCGCAGAGGAAAGGAAAGATACTAAGATGGAAGGACAACACGGAAAAAGAACGAAAATAAACAAAAGAGCGAACGAGAATGCTGCGGGCCACAAACAAAATTCGAGACGACAGGCAGGCTTGAGTGGCCGTGCTCCTGAACCTCTATCTTTTCTTTGTCTGTCAGTCTTTGTCCGTGACTGTCTCTGCTGGTTATTGCCTCTTCGGGCTTAGTGTTCTAGTCGTTCAGCGCATGCATCTCTGCCTGCCTTTCTGCTAGTCTCTTTGCTTGTCTGCCTCTTGTTGGCTTGTCTACCGATCAATTTTTAACTCTATCTCAATGCTTTTGTCTTTGTGCCTGTATGTAGTTTCCTGTTTGTTCCCTCCGACCCTCACAAAGAAACAGAAGAGGAAACAGGGCCAGAGGATGATCAGTCACAGCAGATGCTCACCAGTCCATGGCTGCCGACAGACCCTCGCCTTTCACGGCTGACGCACTGAAAACTGACCACCGCCTGTCCCGCAGAGTGGGCAGCCCCAAAGCCATTGAAATCTGCCAAAGACACAAAGACACACGCAGATAAGCGACCTCAGGGAGTACCTCTTTGAACGCCTGTGAATCGAAACGTATAGGCAGACAGCCAACACACAACAATAGATATACAGTGGTACAGAAAATCCACCGATATTTTCAGCGTCGTTAAGGGCACATGCACTGAACAGCCCAACGAGAAAAAAAGAGCTTAAATGCGTCTAAGAGCGAGCACCAGTCTGACGTAACGTCCGGGCAAAGTACGTGCCACGTATGACTGACGGGAGACCAAAGATACAACATCACGGAATGTCAACTAGATGGCCAAGGTAGACCTTCTAAGGCCATCCATGCACCGCCAGTATCATCACTAGTAAGAACTGAAGCGGCAGCACCAGCCACAAAAGTCGCAACATACCTCCCCCTCGTTGAGTGCACGGGGGAGATCCTGCTTGTTCGCAATGACAGCGAGAGCCACATCTTTAAGCTCTTCTTCCTGTGAAACCACATCAAAACAAGCTGCTGCTGATGCAGCCACTACCGGTACTGCTTGACGCTGCTGGGAGTCCCACCACTTCTGACGGGGAGACGTGCACAAGATTTCTGTCTAGGCTATCACTGCTACTGTCAAGGCGTCCTCTTCACAGCGCCCGCTGAAGCAGCAGCCCCAGCAGCTGCTGGCACTGCTGCGGCAGCTGTGATATTTCTGCTGCTGCAGCAATGCACCTCAAGCATGAGCAGCAACTCTTGCCGAGCATCAGGGAGCCTCTCCACATCGGCGCTATCCACTACATAGATTAGGGCCTGAGTATTCGGGTAGTAGCATCGCCAGTAGGGCCTGCAAACACAACATGTCCCTTACTGTAAGCAAAATGTAACCCTTGAAGGCATCTTGAAACTTAGTAGGACTTTCCTACGTACTGCGTCGTAGAGCGCAACACCGGTGATGGTTCATGGCACCGAGGATGCAGCTGTATTCTAAAAGACAGCAACCCGTGTATCAGATATCGACTTATGTTTTTCTCCGGGACTTGTGGTTTATGATTAAACGCTTGCCACTCAGCACTCCGGGCTTGCCTGATTGATGTCTGGCCGCCCAGATCCCAGACCTGGAATTCAATATTCTTGTACTTCACAGTTTCCACGTTGAAACCAATAGCTGCATAAGAAGCATGCACGAAGAAGCGTTCACGCCGCTGCTACCCTTGCACATTTTGTTGTTATACTTGGAACTAGTGCTGCTGACATGCGCTTACTTGGTACTGTTTGTATGACTTCATTGAGGTGCAAGCGATCTGCATATAAGAAGACATCTGCAGAAGTGCAGTTGCCAGTAACGCCGCAACTGTAGAGGCTACTGGAAATATCACCCCCTTCTCTTTGCCATCACTGCCTTCATGCCTCTTGCTTCTAAACTTAACACTACTACGCATTACACATCTGCTGGGCGCAGAAAAGTACGAGAAGCAGCAGTATTTCATGAAAGAAGAAGAGCTCGTTCCTCCAGCAAGCGTCAAGAACTGCCCTACCTAGAGGAGAAACTAATAGCGCGAGTAAAAATAACCTACAGAGTATAGTGGTCTTGCCGGCGTTGTCCAAGCCCAGGATCAATACCCGCACTTCGCGCCCCCCAAAGAGGCGCGGGAACCACGAGGAGAGAGCTCCGCCCATCGCTCTAGCCTCAACACCAGACCCTGGTCCCCAACCCCTAAATCCTGGAGCTCAGGTCTTAGGCCCTCAGTGGCAGACCATTGAGAAGATAGACGAAGATACAAGTCCTACTCTGTATCCCCCAACAAGCTAAGAGCCCTAAGTCTTTAGGCGGGGATCGGGGGACGCCTAGTCCCTAAGAACTCTAAGCACCTCGAACACTAGCAGCAGCAATGCTGATGCGGGCTTTGTCTCACACGCCTTTGAGACAGGCAGCAGCAGATACGAAGGGACAGCCGGCGAGTTTTTGCCTGTGCCCCTGCCGTAATTGCTGTTCCGTAGGCGGCAGTGGAAGCAGTGCGGCTGCTGCCACTAATAGACCGTCCTTAACGGCACCAACGAGCGAGCGGCCTATGCGTGTCTGTGAAACGAACTCATTTATTGAGAGGTAAGCAATGTTGCTATTGTGATGCTGCTCCTGTCTGTGCTGCTGCTGGGAGCTGCGGACTGCAACAGCAACTAGAGGACAGTGGCGACAGCACAAGCAACAACAGCTGCAACAGCAGACATACCACAGCACAACTCCCCTCCATATTATTGCGAAATTTCATTGCAATCGAGTTGTATCCGCGTCACCGACTCTTCCGTCTGGTAGAAGGGCTCTGGCATGCAACTTCGGCTGCAGCCTCTCCTGCACATCTACGGGGGCACATGAACAGCGAGCAGTACCTATTTCTCTATCGAAAATCCAGTATGAAATTTGCTTCTTTTATTCTTCCCTTCCTAGCCATATCAGGGGAATTCACTTCCAGGGCTAGCTCACTGTGCAATGCTCTGCTTGGACAGCCAGCGGAGGCTGCACAAGCTGTGTTTCTTGTGCATATCAAGCCCGAACATGGGTATCAAGACTTCTATATGACTGGTACTCAAAAACATTCATTGATTCAAACTACATACACCCACTCAACTCTACTGACTATGCACCTCCAGTGTGTGCCTTTATCTTCGAAGCTTTCATTGCAGTCTCTCGGCAGTGGACTTCTGTTTTGGCCAAAAATGAGACGGAGGAGTATATATAACATTCTTCAGAGATACTTGGGGCGATCTCGTCGAAGATCACCCGAGTAGGCGGGTAGGTTACAGAGGGCACTGTGGTGCGAGCAGAAATATCGAGTCTGTACTGTTCGGAAGCGCGGGACATCGGCAGTTTTGACAGAGCTTCAACTTTACGTTTTGCCACTCGCAAAGAGAGCGGGGAATGAGCTGGAAATTAGCGGTGCATATGCCTCTAACAGCCTGAATAAAGTCAGCATTCTGCTTCTGCTTGTTGGATTTAAATTATACACTCGAAACCAGATTTTAGGCACGCAGACTAAAAAGTCTCTATAGATGAAAATGCACTGCACAATGTCGAGAGAAGACGTGAGCAAATGCCCGCACCGCCAGCAAATGCACGTCTCGTATGTATGAGTTGACTTCTCCCAAAATATTGAGAACACGTTTTTGAGTAGATATTTGGTACGGGCTTTAAAAACCTCTGGCAAATTCGAAAATTCCCTACTGGCAAGAAAAGCTGAGAAAAGGCTTTCACATGCAGCCCAAAGATGCTTAGCCACCCTCGTAAGCGTGGCTTACAACGGTTCTCTTGTGTTGCTAAAGCTGCGTAGGGAAAGGTGGCAGTGCCGTTAACGGGGGCATCTTGTTCTTCAGATAGCTGACGAAGTTGAACTCCTAATCAGGAAGTCGGAGTGCCCGCGCCTAGAAATCGCGTTTTCAGCGCACTGACAGTCTATGGAGTACTAGGGCAGATGCATCATGAAGACTTCCTAGGGCTCTTGGAGATTCACTTCACCACGAAAGGGATTGACTCCAAACGATGGGGCCGGGGAGGTTTGCTGCCATAAATTGACTTGTGGATAGTTGAAACCGCTCTGGCCAACGCGAGCTCAATTTCACCTTCTTGGGAAGCAGCGCAACACATAGAGCCAAAGGCTGCACAGGCAAGTTGCATTTTGGGATCGTTCGCTCCAGTAAAGATTAAAACTAGTGCAGCATGGGATAGATGTATCTACACTGCACTTCAGTCATGGTGTTCAGGAGAGACGCGTTATGGCTGTCCAGGTCCTGTGCTACACCCATGGTGCGGAATAACAGTATTGACACTGGACCCGCGGAATGAACCTATGCTAGCCGGTTTGTTACTATTCATAAGATATCGAAGTATTGGAAACTGTTACACGCAACCAAGCAAATATGTGGTGCAAGATGTTGGGAGTATGCGAGACTCTTGGAATGCTTGTGTATGATGCTTCTACGTGAGTGTTGAGTCAAGATGATGGGTAGGCGGCGTTGCTTCGGAGTGTCCTTGTAACGCTGCTTCATAGGCTGCCGCCACACCCTCCCTCTGCAGTGTCGCAGTAAAGTACTTTTGATGCTGGATTTCGCCAATATTCTTATACCGGCAAAATCCGTTCCAGTTTTTTTCAGTCTGCGTTGCATCTAGCGGTCCCCAGAGCACTGCACATGGAGTTTAGCGCCGCACGTTCATGCCTTGTCACTATAGAGTTTGCAGTAAAATAATAAACACGTAGCAACAGCTGTGAGCTCTCCTTTGAACTAGTGCGCGTTTGTAAGAAGCCAGCACCCTCAGCTGGCTGATTAGTAAACGTGTTTGAGAGCTTTGCTATGTGGATCATCCCCTCTCTCCAACAATTATGAGTTACGAAATGAAATTCTTGAGAATAAGCATCCAGGAAAAACAACCTCAACGCGCCGTGTGACTACATTCTCACACAGGCACAGTGTCTCGAACGCCTCTGGCTGCTTCACCAGAGACGCGTCCATTGCAGGGGATCTTGTTTTGCTACCTCCAAAAAACTCCTTTCTAGTAAGCAGTGTCAAGACAAAAGGAAAAGATGCACAATTTCACTAAATTCGTGGCAAAATAGTTGGCTCCAGTAGGCTCATGCCGTTTCTGTGGAAGCGCCAGCCACATGCCACCCATGTACAAGAGCGTAGACTATGCCGCATTGCTGCCTCATATACTAACGCTAGTTCGCCTAGTGTTGTGACTACGTCCAACTGTCTAACACGAGCGCCCTTGTCGGCTCTTCGATGCCGCTGCTTACGCTTTGGTGTAGCAGCTGCATATACCTAGAAAGCGCGGGATGAAACAGCACCTCGTTTGGCGTGAGACTCGTCGAGAGTATATGGCCCCCATCCAGAGTCTCTCCTATACCTACGATAATTCCTCTAAAGGGGCTTCCTTCGATAGGCTACGCGGCTCTTGACGTTATACCAGGGACGACTGCAGCTCTCAGGGCCAGCAGCCTCCCGTGCACGAGGGCCCTCCTGCCCACGCTTCTGATGGGGCCTCCTTTGCTGGAGTTGCTGCTGCAGTTGTTCGTGCTGCGGCGTCGAATTTCTTATTTTGGGGATAGGGGGAGTAGTGCGTCACCCCGAGTCTTCTGTGCGTGTGTCTGCATCAACAGCAGCGGTTAGCTGCTGCAGCTTTGCGGTGTCGGCCTGCATGCCTACAAAGGGTGGTAGAAGGTGGTGCTCGTAGATTCTGCTTATTCGACTGCCCGCGCCCAAACATTATTTTGCCTTTGCATCGAGGGACGGGCCTCTCAGTGGCCCAGGGACCTCTCGTTTCCTCTTAAGCGCAGCTGCTCAGCTGTTGCTGCTGCTGCTGTCCGTCTCCCCTCTGGATCTCCTCCTTTCCTCTGGACTTCTCGACGATCAGTTGGCCTCATCTGCGTCCTACGCAGATATTTGTGCGGCGCGGGCTATTCCAGGCGCAGCAGCAGCTGTGGGGGCCCCCGTGGTAGCACCGACGGGAGGAGCTGCAGCATTCGTTGCTCCAACAATATTGAGATACAGCAGAAGCGCTCAGTAGCAGAAGTCCAGGGGGCCTGTTGATTTATTGCACGGTGTCTTGCTTTGGAGGCCCTCCTGTCCAAGGGCATGAGCTTCTTCATGGACGGCCGTTCGACATCAGAGGCCACAAGGCCCCCTGCAGGAGTTGCAGCACCGGCTGCAGCAGTAGCGCTGCCTGCTGCAGCAGGCAATGCTCCCTTTGCACCGCACTCAGCTGCGGCTTCCCATGCTTTCGCAAGAGGGCTGGCGCCCTTCTCATCCCCTGCAGCAGCGGCAGCAGCATTTCACGCGGTTGCAGCGGCAGCAATGCCGGCAGCGTCGAACCAGGCCGCTGCAATGGCAGCAGCATTAGCAGCAGCGGGTAGGCCGCTTTCAGTAGGCGGTGTTGGGCAGGCGGCTTCCGGTACAGTTGTGGCAGCCCCAGTAGCCACCATGCCTTTTGTTGGTCTTCCTTCTTCTGCTGCAGCTTCAGCAGGACAAGCAGCGGCGCATACTTCTGCGAATACTGTAATCGCAACAGCTCCCCCGGCAACAGCAGCAGCTTCAGCTGCTGCAGCAGCACGAGTAGCAGCAGCAGCGCGAGCAGCTGCAGCAGTTCGAGCCTCACCAACAATCCCAGCAGCCGCAGCACTTCAGCCAGTTCCAGGAGCAGCGGCTACGGCTCCAGCAGCAGCTGCAGCAGTATCAGCAGCCGCCACAGCAGTTTCGGGGCCACCGACAGTTTCAGCACCTGCACCGGTTACAGCGGCAAGTGCAGCACCTTCAGCGGCAGGTACAGGAGCTTCAGCAGCACCTAACACTGTACCAGTAGCAGCAACAGGTGTCGCAGCAGGGAGAATGATAACTCCTGCGTTTCATGGGACTATGTCAGCGCCTGCAGCAGCAAGTGCATCTGCGCCAACAGATCCCGCTTCAGGGACAGATGCTTCAGCGCCTTCTCCGCCTGCTGCAGCCGCAAAGGCAGCTCCTGCTCGAGGGGGCCGTGGGGGCAGCCGCGGGGGCCGTCGGGGGAGGGGACCTAGTGTTGCGGCAGCTGGGAGTGCAGCTGGTACGCAAATGGCCGGGGAGAGGCCTCAGAGAGCGCGACGAGCACCTCGAATGTTTGAGGTGGATGCTGCAGCGGACGACAAACTTCTGAAGGTCGCGATCGGGAGATCTTTGCTGGTGAGTGGTGGGGAAAGGAGCTGTTGTTTACTTTCTCGAGTCTTCTTTTGATGTGCCTACTCGTTGTTTTGTGGGTTTGGTGATCATGCATCGACCAGTTCCGGTATCATCTTTTATTACGTGTCTGCTCTGAAACTTGATAGTATCTCACGTTGGTATGCGTTGGTCTCCACGGAATTTTTCCGTATCTTGCCGTGTGGCCTGTCCATCTACGCCATGTGTTTTGGTGGTTCCTTCTCCTTTACATCCGTGGTCAGTGGCCGATTTGATGCATTGCTGTCGTTTTAGACATTCGTGCCCAGTTATTGACTGTGGCCGATGGCGCAGTTACGCCTTCCACCTGTGCATTGTCTGTTTGTACGTTTGGCTATAGGAGACACGCCGGGTGGAAATGAACTACTCGTCACTGCCTGCAGTGCCGGAGTTACGTTTCCCGTCGTGTGAGGCCTTCCTTGTGAACCCGATATCATTTTTTGAGAGTTTGAGGGCCATTGGCCGCGAGTTTGGAGCTGTTAAAATTATTCCCCCCCCCGATTGGGACCCACCGTTTGCACTTGACGCCTTGATCAATGACCAGGCGTTGTTTCACGTCCGCACGCAAGAGGTGCACTCTCTAATGGCGGCTAAGGTAACCTTGCTGCTCTGAGCCTTCCTACTTAGCTCCTCTCTGTTAGCCTGTTTTTGATCGTGCGCAACTGGTGGCAGTACAGGAAATTGAGTAGTCTGCTGCCAGCCGCGCTGCCGCCACCGCCGAGGACTCTCTCTTCCCTTGTCCTTCTTTTTGCAGCCTTTTCAGCACCCAGAGGCTCCCGTCCACGCATCTGAGCTTCGTTCGCATGACAGAGAACTAACCCGCCAGGTTTTTGGTTGCTACAGTCCCAGCATCGAGACAGTAGAGGCGGTTTATTGGAAGAGTGTGGAAAGTGGTTGTCCGCAACTCACCGTCCACTACGCTGCTGATCTCCGGACAAATGAACTTGGGAGTGGATTTCCTGTCGCGCCTGCAGGGGCAGACGCATCAACGGCAACGTGTAGCAGAAGCAGCAGCAGCAGCAGCACTGAGGCTAGCGTTGGAGGAAGCCCTCAGGAAAGGCAGTGCCAAGCGCCTCTTCAACACGCCCATGAGGGACTAGCGAAGGCAGAGTTGCACAGTAAGCAGCTGCACCAGAAGCAACAGCAGTACGACTACTGTACCCATCCATGGAACCTTGCCCGTCTAGCCAGAGTCGAGGGATCGCTGCTACGACATTACCATCGGGATGTACCTGGGGTCACTTCCCCCTGGCTGTACGTTGGCACCGTCTTCTCAAGTTTCTGCTGGCATACCGAAGACAATTTTTTCGCAGCTTGCAACTATCATCACTGGGGCGCTCCGAAGGTAATCCAGCTGTCCTGGCAGCGGGTGGCTCTGTATATTTGATCTTCGCATGTCGAGGAAGTTGTGTATTTGCCTCTTTTTGGTAGATGGCACGAAACTGTATCCTGATTGCTTGATATGCATATGCTCACGGATATTATTGTTGGCCTGATGTTTGAGGGCCGCTTTTTATGCTTTAGGCAGCATTATAGCTTAGGAGGGCTATTATCAAATATGGATTACACTGGCGTGTTCAGTATTACTGATAGCTGCTGTTAGACATGCTACTTGTTCAGATATGGTACGTGGTACCTCCCTCCCGCGCGCCTTCAGTAGAGAGGACCCTGCAGTCCTACCTCGCGGACCGGGACCCCCACTACGTCTTGCATTCCCTTACCGTGCAGCTACCTCCCTCGCTATTTGTGGAGAACGGCATACCTGTGTATCGGATTGAGCAGCACCCGAAGGAGTTTGTTATGCTTTGGCCTCGCACCTACCATGCGGGATTCAACGCGGGGTGAGGCGCTGCAGCAAATCCTTTTTATGTGCTTTGTGTGCTGCCGAACCCCCCAGCGCAGGACGCTTAAGTTATGTGGCCTCTCCCTAGGCGTTGGGTCGTTAAGAGCGGGGGCCGACTGGTGATTCGCTCCGTTGCGTTGTGATGTTTCAGCTTCAACTGCAACGAAGCTTGCAACTTCGCGCCACCGCTTTGGCTACAGTGGGGCCAAAAGGCCATCCGAAGTTACCGGTACATGCGATCTACATGCATTCCTTATCAACAGCTAGTACTTCGTTCTGCCATTCAGTCTGCCGGCGGTTTTTCTGCGCGCCAACAACTCGAGCTTTGTCGAGCTGTAGCTCGACTCCTCATGGAGGAGTTCACCGCTCGTGCAGGTGCTGTGCAACAGCAACTGGCTGCGGCGCCAATGCAATTAGCCGCTGGGCAGCTTAACCTTGTAGAAGCGTTGGATCCAGACGTGAAGGGCTGGCGACAAGACCTTAGACGGCTGCTTGCCACGTTCGGAGACTTGCTCGTGCCGCTTCCATTCGGCGATGATGATGGCCCGAAGGAGGAGCTGCTGGCTCGCGTTGCTGAAGTCTTATCGCTGCCCGTTAAAGACTGCAGCAGCTGCAAAGCGTGCTGCTCGCTTACCTGCGCCACTTGCTGCCACCAGGAGGATTATGTCTGTCTCGATTGTATTGGTAGCCTTTCCTGCAACTGTGCGCAGAGAGTAGTCCTCTCAAGGGTCCCTCTTCCGACTCTTCGACTTGTTTATCAACACTGTCTAGACACGCTAATGCTACAGACCAAAGAAATCACGACTGAGAGCTCTCAGCAGAGGGAGCAGCACCAACAGCTTGAGTGCCATTTAGGCGCAGATGCCAGGACTAAGGAGGACAACACAGTATCTTTGTCTTCTGAAAAACCAGTGAGTGCAGCTTTGGCAGTGGCAGCGGCAGAGGTTGCTGCTGTTGTCGAAGGAGTTGCAATGAAGTGTCCCTCTCCCGGAGCAGATGAGCTGGCGCCTCGGAAACGGGGAAGGCCCCGCGCAAATCCCCGAGCGTCAGGAGATGCGAAGAAGCGCGCAGCAGAGGCAGGTGCTGCAGCAGCTCTTCACGAGAAACCGCTTCTCCAGGAGATTCAGGAAGATTCATTGTTACAGGCTGTCCCCCCAGTGTCTGAGTTGGTTGCTCTTGAACGCAAGTCTTACAGGGGCGTTGACTATTACGCCGTCAGCTACAACGACGAAGCAGATCAGGAACCAGAACCGCAACCTCCCTCCCCTCTGGCGGCTACTTCACTTCCTTCCGTAACAACGGAGCCTTTGCAGCAGCAGCAAGAACAACAGAACCATGCAACAGCGGCTCATTTGGCAGGAGCAGAAAATCCCGCTATCCTACATCAGTTGGGCTTGCAGGGATTTGCAGCTGCTGCTCTGCAGCACCGACCACTGCAGCAGTCACAGGAGGCACAGCAGCAAGAGCTGAAGCAGCAGCAAGAATTGCTTCAGATCAAGCTACTGCTTGGAGAGCAGCGGATGCTGGATTCTTCAGCCGAGCAGCAACTGGCGGCACTGCAGCAGCACCACGAGCAGCAACAGCTTCAGCAACAGCAGCTTCAGCAGCAGCACCGCCAATTGCAGCAGCAGCAGTTGCAGCTCCAGCAGCAGCTGCAGCAGCAGCTGCAACAACAGCAGCAGCGACAAGCGGACTTGCACGCTTTGCAGGGCGCGGGGGCTCTGGACTTACATTCCCACCATGGTTTGCTGCCTCATCCGCCGAGCAGTAGTAACATGAGCGCGCTCTCTGGTCATCAGCATCAGCGCGATGGAGAGCGGCTGCACAGTCTGTCTCCTTTGACGCATCGGTCATCAGAGAACAGAGGCAGCAGCCAGATGGGGAACGCCGGGCCGCCGCAGCAACAAGAGGCGGAAAACCTTCGCGCGAAGAAGAAAGAGCCTCTGGCCGTGGACTGCGGCGAATGGGCCCCGTGTGAGGTGGGGTCTCAGCTAGACATAAGCGTCGGACGCTTGAGCAGCTCTCTGGTGCCAGCTCCGGAAGAGGCGCCACCCGTTGTAGGAAGACGCGGCAGGAGGGTCGTCCCCTTTCGGGTGATATCTCCGGACATGGTGGTAGACAGGAGAAGAGAACTGGCAGTGAGGAGGTATGTGCAACAACTAACTTGGAGGTATTTTATAAAAACTCTGAGGGAGGAAGCTGAGGATGATGATGAACAGATCTTGCCCATGTTCAAGCGTGCCGCAAGACCAGAATCATGATTGTTTTGTTGCTGCAGATCTACACGTTCAGCTTCACACACATTGACTTATGTCATGTTTGCACTTGCTTTTGCATGCATAGACAGGCCGAGATAGAGACATATTTTAATACGGTAATGTCAAGTGCCCACAAATTTTGCATGAAGGTGCCGTGGGCCCTTTTTGCGCGTACAGACATACGTGTGCGCATAAACCGACTTCTCTGGGTGAACTCATTATCTTTGCATGTGACGTTAAGCCGCATATGTATACAAGCAAGTCCACTTTCTTGTGCTGTGGTTTATGAATACACGAATCTGGATATATACACACATCGCTGCCCCGTAACGATGTATACGGGGCAGGAACTAACACAGTGCAGATGGGTCCGGCTTTACTGCACGAGCCAAGATTACTATAGCGAGTCCGTTCCTACTACAAGGAGCGCCATATGGGTTGCCCTATGTTTCTGCACCAAGTTCGGGAATATATTGTCTCAGCAGCCTTGAGTTGCTGCAATAGGCTCGCTTTCGCTCGTATCTCCCATAGATAGCAGAGAGGGAGGGAGATTGCTGCCAGGATCGACAGAGCGAGCCTCCACAAAGCTTTTCTTCATCGTAAACGAACTCCGGGTCGCTGTGTGCTGACAGGCTGCATACGGTGTTGTCAGTTAAGACATGATGTCTGTAGCTATTTGCAGAAGACAATAGGGTTTTCTTGGCTTCTATTGGGGAACGCAGGGGTGCCGCATACTCATGTGGTGGCTGCCTACGAATCCTGCACTGAAATTCTCACTGCTGCTCAAATATTCCGTATCAAAACCAGTACCAGCCTAACTTCATGCAATATTTAAAGTCTCAGTCAAGCCCGCGGGCTTCACCTGAAACTGATAGCAAGGTGAGGGTTACGGCTAAGCAACTGTTTGCAAGCATGTGCTACGAACCAGCGGAGGGTTTCACTCTGCACGCCGCTTCCGTTTAACGTACCCTCGACGCCTGAAGATGGTCTCTCTCAGGCGCGTCTTTCTTTGGAGGACTTTGGCTTTGTTCCTTCGGCGCTTGCGCTGAGCATGGGCCTGCGGATTTTCTAGGAATTTTTGCTGTGCCTTAAGCTTCCGCATCACTCGCTTTGAGGAGACGTTCTGCCGTGTGTCCGCCAACAGTATGCGGTATGTTTCCTGGTGTCCGGCGCTTCTTAGGAGCCTTTCCATCTTCCTCAGCAATGTCGACCCTCCCGTTGCAATTTCACCCAGCTGCCTTAACGGATCCAACGAGCGAAGTGACTCCCAGACACTCTGGTTGTTCTTCGACAGACAGGCGCCTGCGGTTGTCTCTGTAGCACCCTCTTCCACGCTTTCCATTTCGACTTCTACCAGCTGCGCTAGCACTGAGTCCGCTGCGAGTTCAGAATGGAGCGTCGAACAGCGATACGCCACATCGAAAACATGCCGCAGCACTTCGTGAACCACTTCGCCCTTTGCTGCTGCTAATTGTCCTGCGTTGGAGTCATCAGGGAGCTCGGCGAGCGGCAGCAGCTTAACCAGCGAGCCGAAGAAAGCCAGAATCCCTGCAACACGCACTACTGTACCCTGCGGATTTTTTGCCTCCCGTAAGCTGTCGCCACTGTAACCCAGCCGACCCAAGTGTATTCGAAGCCAACGGCTAAGCCCAGATACAAGGAATACCAGAGGATGCAGCGTGCCTGCTTCGTGGCAGCGGTCTGCAACCATCTCTCCAGTGTTAGATTTGGATGTCTTCCAGGAACTGATCGGCATAAGAAACGATGGGACAGGCCGTCCTGCTGTAGCAGACGTCTCCCTGTCATCCCGCGATGCTTCCAGTTGCATTTCTTGCAATACCATTTCCTCAGTTTCGCCGGTATCCGCTTCCTCCAACTCTTGTTCACCGTCACTGTCAGGTAGCGAGTCGTCTTTCTTTGATTTTCCCTTCAGTGTCTCGCGATCTTCGTGATCTGAGGCGACGTCATGAGGGACAAGTGTATCAAGTGCACTTTCCTTATCATTCCGTGTCTGTTCCTCATCACTTCCTTCCAGGGCGCAGGCAAGCTCTGCGCCGTTCGGAGAGCATGTGACCTTTGCTGGTGTATCTATGGTGCCACAACCCGCTGAACACTCCAGTACTTGCTCAGGGCACACCTCTGCACTTTGGATGCGTTTGAGAGATTCTGAGTCGGCCATTTGTACATGGTTATCTGAACGAGCGTCAGAGCAATTCCGTGTATCCATTTCCTCCTCGCGTTTCGAAACACCTGTTTGAGTTCTCCGTGGTTTACTGTTGACTGGTACCAGTTCAGGGAAGCTGTAAGCAAGCTGGGCCCAACCGATGAGAGCAGCGATAGCAAAAGGCACAGCAGATGGGTGTCTCTCGAGCATGCTGTCTTTGCCAAAGTGCTTCGCTAACGCCAAGCCCAAATCCGTCAACGGGTTAGTCTGTTTTGCAAGATTGGGTCGCTCCGCGCACTGCCTGCTCCTCCCTAGTTTAAGGAAGGCAAGCAGAGGAACAACAGCACGGCGCCACGCTACAAATGGCGTTTGCAGCAAGTACTGACCTACACACCTCAGCGCCGCGCAGCGCACCCATGCGTTTTCATGGCGTAAGCACGTTCCAGCTAGCTCCTTCCACAGCTCCGCTGCATGCAGCCCCGCAACAATCTGCTGCTGAGGCAGATTGGGTTGATGTTTGGGTTGATGATCTTCGAAAGCGGTTTTAGGGCTCTTTGATCGATCGCTACTGCCTGGCACCCAAATGTCGAAGGTGGCTATGAATTCCTCTAATTCACGCCTCTCAAAAATCTTAGAGTCCCCCTCCACGGCATTTTCTGCTCCTGTTGCAGTCAGTCTACGCAATCCCTCTGTACCTGACTTCTGCCAGATCTGCGCAGCCTTCCCGAAAGCATTTTCCATTAAATGGAGACCACCAACTGCAAAAATTTGTTCAACCACTTGTATTATTTTGTACAGTAAACGCCAGTCTATCAAGGAATCTGTAGCATGAGTAACATCTGCGGCTGCGTGGAACACAGCGCAAAGAAGCTGCAGCACTGCCGGCATGAAGTGAGCAAGGCAATTTTTACTTATACTTTTGCCAATATGTGTCACGAAAACGCTCAGGAACTCAAGAAGGGCCATCAAGTGCTGAGTTCGGGAAAGCAAAAAAACCCTGAAAGCAAGACAAAACAACGTCAATTCAAAAAGAACTATAGCAGCTCACAAAATGATGTCCAAACTTCTGAACGTGCTGGCCCTTGAAACTGTTAAGAGAATCTATAGTTTGAATACGTGGCACGTCAGACCCAGCCTACCTAGATACAGTTTCGAGATAGACCTGGAGGTGTGACGTTGGATCATCCGCCACTTCAACTAGCTGCAGAATCTCCCTTACGACTTGCTGTAGTAGCTTGTGGGCAACTTGGTCCGTCTCTGTTGCCAGTGTTGAGCAGCATGTCAAAAGCACTACCTGCCCGTAGCGCTCCATAAAGAGCTCTGCAGGAAATCGCCGCTGAGAAAAAGCAACGAAAAGACAACGAAAGCAGCCATCCAGGGGTGAAGTCTCAAGTTTAATACTGCTACGGAGACTTCCCAGAAAAAGTTTCAATACTTCAGCTGGCACCAGGCGTTCCGACTTTGCGGTTCTGCAGCTACAGTACTTCAGCTGGAAGCTGGCATTTCGAAGTTCTTCTGTAGATGCAGCTGTCCACCGTATATCTGTCAAAGCTTCCCACCACTCTGGCTTACCACTACTTTTAGAAGGGCACCAATGGCTGCACGTCTGCCATAGACGTCGGAGAACTTTTGTTGTTGAAGAAGAAAAAAAACTCGTCTTTGCTGCAGCTTAGGAGTCATAGGAAAATTGAGAAGGAACGAAACATAAACGTCCGCACAGATGCTTGACAGTTTCTGGCTGACACCCGACGAGGTCGCGTGCTGCACCATCACCCTTGCTACGCGATCAACACACTCGTATACAAGAGGCAACAACTCAGCTGTTGCAGTTTTGAGTTTTCCCGCCGAATGGTCTCCCTGCTCCGCAACTTCAGCGTTTCGCTGCCGCTTTTTCTGCGCATTCGTGCGAAGAGATTTTGTGTCCATTTCCCCCGCTGCCTGCCTTGACTCCTCCAAAGCCCGCCGAGCAGCCTCACCTGCAACGTCTTTGTAGTGCTGTAGTACTACACGTTTGAAGAGGAAGAGGGCACAAAGCTGCAGTTGACTATCCTCCAGAGAAGAAGAAATGTGAGCAAGAAGAGCTTCCTTGAGAAAAAACTGCCCAGCAGCCTGTACCTGTTCCTCAGTCACGGCTGCGTCCACACTTAAACTGACATCTGCATGAGGCGCTGCAGTAAGTGCCCATTCCTTGTGTGGCGGCTGATGCTCTTCGTGCAGCCGTCGCTGCTGCTGGTCTTGAGGCCTCCACGGCAATATGCGGAGCTGCTCTCGCAAGAGGGACCTCAGTATGTCCCCACCAATATGTTGCGACGGGTTCAGCGCCGTGTCCATCCATTTAGAAGCCTGCGGCTGTAGCAGCAAGGTTGCCAGGAGCTTCGTGCAGATGGGAAGAAGCTCTGAACGAGCCGTATAATGATAATTTACTTGCACACCGCTCCCGCTACCGCACGAATGAAAAATTCGCATCGTCAGGTAAGCTACCAGGGCCCCCCGGCTTTCAAGTCGAGGTAGGCGCAAGGAAATTAACTCTAACAAACAGCGGGCTCCCCATGAAACCAATTTAGTCGATTTGCAACTGAAACAACAAACTACCTTCACTGCAAGCTCATCGAGCTGGTCCATGCAACGGCGCAGAGCGCGCGCATCAAAATTTTGTCCAACCAATGTGGTTGCCTTCGACTGTGTGACCTGCCCAGTCCGTTTTTCCCCCATATTCCGCAGTGGCATCTTCGCTGTCTTGAGTGATAAATGAAGAAGACGGAGGGCTGCTGTCCCCAGCAGAGAAGACTGTGTCGACAGCTCGAGGCCTACTGCTCCTTGAGGTCTACTACGCGTTGCT